CCAGGCAAATCGGCTTTCTATCTCTATAAACTAGCTTTGCCTGTCTAGAATTTCACATAAATAGAATCGTACAATAAGCAGTCTTTGGTGTTTGGCTCCGTCAGTTCAGCATGTTTTAAAGATCTACTCATGTTGCTGTGGTATCAATGCCTTCCCCTTCATAAGGACACAATTTGTTTATCTACTCTAATTGTTGGATGTTTTGGTTATTTCCTGTTTKGGGCTATTGTGAATACAATTACTTTGAACATTCAAATATAAGCCTTTGTGTGAACAGAGGTTTTCATGTTCCTTGGGCACCTGGGAATAGGATTTCTGGGCAGTATGTAGTATACTTAATTTACCAGAAACTGCTTTCTGAAGTAGCTGAACCATTTCTCAATCCTCTCAGCAAAATAGGAGTCCAGTTGCTCCACATCTTCATCAACACTCAATGCTGTCAATCTACTTTGGGCCATTCCAGTGGATGTGCAGTGGTATCTCACTGTAGGTTTTTTTGTGTGGTGAGGGACTGAACCCAGGGCCTTTCACATCTACTACTAGGGAAGCACTCTACCACTGAGCCACGTCCCCGGCCCTTCTCATTGTAGTCTTAATTTATATTTTCATGATGACTGATGTTGAACATTTTTTTTTTTAATGTGCTCCCTGGTGGTTCATACATTTTCTTTTTGTGATTCTGATACAGAATGTTCAGAAACCATGTTCTGAGAAAACTTGCCTAAAACATCCACATTTATTCCTGCCAGGACAAAGCACTTTACAGGATGATTTAAATGGAAAATCTTAAAAGAGTTCCTCTCAATTTTGTAAAAAACTTCAAAATACAGAAAAGTTTGGGGAAAAAACAAATTCCCACAGGCTCTCTACCCAGATCTAAATATTGTTAATGTTCTGCTGCTTGCTCTTTGTGTGACTGTGAATATAAAATTGAACCATTTGAAAATAAGTTGCAAACATCAAGACATGTCATCCCTACTTTAGCAAGCATCTCCTAACACTTCTTTGATGTAACTGCAATTCTACCATAATACTTAGTAAAAATTAATAAGCTCATATTCTGTYCATAACCTGAGTCCTGCAGTTTTTCCACGACCTTTTAAAACAGACCCAATCAGAGTTCAAGAACTGTTACTGGTTATCTCTCCCAGAATTTTGACTTTTTGAAGAGACCAGGCTGATTGTCTTCACAGAATGACACATTCTGGATTTATTTCATTCCTTTGTAAATTGAAGTTTAGATTCAATATTCCTATTTTTTTGATAGGAATACTTTGTGGTATTATGTGGTTCATGTATCATTGCCAAAGAGACTTCATGATTTCCAGTAATTTGTATCAAACTTTCTGGGGGAAATMAATTCTTTTTTAGCAAGCTAAAAATTATGAACTCAAACATACCTACCAATTTGGATAACTATGGGCTTTTCATTTCTCATTCTCAGCTTGAGAGAGAATGTAAAAGTCAAGTCAGACTCTAACAAAGGGTTTTGGACATGGGATAGTACATTCTGCTGCTTTCATATCGGCCCTTTTCCCCCATCTGGACATTTCTGATGCTCCCTTCTGGCCTCTCCCAGCTGGCCTGTCATTATCCTATACCTGGGGCTCAGAATCAAAAAGATACTAATTATCATGACTTCTCATTAGCTCAGCTTTGTCCTTAGTAAAACCATCAAACCTGTAAACAACAGACTACTGTTTCCTCTACTAACCAAAAGTTGTGCCAATCAAATGAAATCAACTAGATGAGGACACATTTGAAATGATGAAGCATTTCATCCACTCATTCCACATCTATTGAGCATCCATTATTGTGTGGGTGTCCTGCCAGGCAGAGATGTAGAAAAAGGCTGCCTGAGGCTTCTAGGAAAGAAACCTTGCTGTGGATGGAGGTGGCACATGCAGCTTGATCACATGAGCCAACAGAAGTCCCTTGATTATTTTAAGCCTATATGGGTTAGATTTTCTGTTAGATATCCAGGAGTGCACCGTATTTGGGACCCAGTCTCCTCAAGAGAGTTAGAGCAAATTCTGGTGCTGGCGCCACCTCCTAGAGCTCTGTTAGTTCTGATGCCTCAATGTGTTGTTTATAATCTAAATCCTATTATGCTAGTAATTAGCTTGACTGATCCCCAAACATGCTTGCAATCCCCAAACCTCTAACAGATATTTCTCTCTAACTGGTGAAAACATAAGTACACCTCAGAGATCAGAAACATCTCCTGGAAATCTCAGATTTCCCAAGACCCTGCCACCTATGATTCCTCTGGTAGACCACTATCCTTCCCCATTCCCTGTGTTGGCCTCTGCCCACACAACCCTGTTCTGTGGGGCATCTCCACTTTCCTAATTCCCAAAGCAGGAATTAATTCTGAAATAAGAACAGGCAAAGAAAATGAAAAATTTTTGAAAAAGTGCTATTTTATATTGCCTTATCTATACCTAAGAAAACTTTACTGATCAAAAGTTGAAGTATAGGAGCTAGGTCTGTGGCTTGCCTAGAAAGCTTGCCTGTAGAGCACTTGCCTAGCACTTGTGAAGCACTGGGTTCGATTCTCAGCACCGCATATAAATAGATGAATAAAATAAAGGCCCATCTGTCTAAAGCTCAGTGGTACAGTGCTCGCCTAGCATGTGTGAGGCACTGGGTTTGATCCTTAGCATCACATAAAAATACGAATAAAGGCATTCTGTCCATCTACAATTACAAAAAAAAAAAAAAAGTTGAGGTATAATAAAATCATGATGCACACTGCTTTTGCTTTTTCAGACCAAAAAAATATCTATTTTGGGGCTGGGGCTATAGCTCAATGGTAGAGTGCTTGCCTTGCATGCATGTGGCACTGGGTTCGATCCTCAGCACACATAAAAATAAGTAAAATATTGTGTCCATCTACAACTAAAAATAAATTTTAAAAATATACATGTTTTTCAAAACATTTAAGTCAGGACAGCATGACTTACATGGAGGAGGCTCCAGGCTGTGACAGTCATTACCCTTGAGATGGGAGAATGGCCTAGGGTCAGGGGAGGCACTCAAGAAACTCAGGGAAACAGGAGACTACCAGATGAAGGGACATGTTTCAATGGTTTACAACTAGTACAGTCATAACACAATGGAATGTCCAGTTGAGAGAATGTGTATTTTTTTTAAACTGTGCTATATTTTCTTAGGCTTTCGATTAAAAAACTACTTTGAAAGGAGAACTTACTGCAAGGCAAAAGTTATTTGTCTAATGCATGCTTGGCTTTGTGTAGCTCAATAGGCCAACCTTGAAAACTATTATTATTTTAAATACTTAACTTGGAGAGAGAAAGGAACTTGAAAAAGATGTTACCTTTGGTTAAAGGCTTGAGAAAGGTAAAACAAACACCTCAGAAAAAAGCAAATCCACTTAACAATGGAGGCCTTTTGATTTTATTCCAGTTGATGCTGTTGGCACAGATCAAAAGAGCTCTGTGGGAATATAACACAGCAGTGAAATGAAGGGACCCGCTGAGGGTAAAAACACTTGGCATGTTTTTACTCCTATAGGATCAAAGGTTTTTGTCAAATAGGACTTCAGCTGTTTGTTGTAGGGCCTGTACTACCCTCTCTCCCCAAATCACAAATATAGTAACAGCGGCTAATAGAGACATGTGTTACTTATCCAACTATTTGATTCCATCTGTACAATTAGGATGCAAAACATTTTTAAAAGTATGATTTCAGAGTTCAATACCTAACCCCAGATACATCACCAACTATAACAGGTCAGGTCCCAGACATTTCCTTGCACTACCAGTTAATCCCTCTGATCTTACATTCATATCCAAGACACTAAATTCAAAGACATCGTAAGGATTTAGGAGAATACCATAAGCCACTGGGAACAAAGCAGACACAAACCAGTTATTTGTCTAATGCATGCTTGGCTTTAGACAAGCAACCTAAAGTAGAAAGCGGGAAATGAGCCATGGACATACATAGGCCTCTCAGGCTAAACTCTGTATAAACCAAACGTGTAAAACTAAACACAGAAAGAAACCTCAAGCATCACTTGATAAACTGGGAACATTGATGTCTCCCCTTTTCCTTATTTTTTTTAGATGTTGATAGACCTTTATTTTATCCATTTATTTAAATAATAATATAAATAAGCAGTGCTGAGAATCAAACCCAGTGCCTCACACATGCTAGGCAAGCGCTCTACCACTGAGCCAACCACAGCCCCATCGATGTCCCTTTTTGACATAAAAATATTGATTATTACTTAGAATGGCATTAGTTTCCTGTTCTCTCGTATTCACAGAGGCCCATATTCCTGTCATGTCAAATGTAACAAGCTTTACACAGAAACAGCTCTTGAAAGGTTATCTTAATTATATTCACAGACACTAATTTTGGTTAATGTATTTTTTTCCCTTATACTTCCTCTTAAGTTATTTGTTGCCTTTTTTTTAAAAAACTTTATTTTTTTTGGGCTGGGGATGTGGCTCAAGCGGTAGCGCGCTCGCCTGGCATGCGTGTGGCCCGGGTTCAATCCTCAGCACCACTACAAACAAAGATGTTGTGTCTGCCGAAAACTGAAAAATAAATATTAAAATTCTCTCTCTCTCTCTCTTTAAAAAAAAAAAAAAAAAAAAAAACTTTACTTTTTATGTGGTGCTGAGGATCAAACCCAGTGCCTCATATGTGCTAGGCAAGTTAGGCAAGTGCTCTACCACTGAGCCACAACCCCAGCTCCTGTGTTCCTCACACTTTCTAGAATTACAAGTGATACCTGCCAACTATGTTTAAGTTACTAGTGGGTACACTGTCCATTGGCAGTGCTGGAGACCGAACCCAGGGCCTCACACAAGGCAAGCACTCTTCCACCGAGCTACATCCCTACCTCTTTAAAATATATATATTATTTTGAGACAAGGTCTAACTAAATTGCCTATGCTGCCTCAAACTTGGAATGGTCCTGCCTCAGTCTCTTGAGTAGCTGGGTTTAAGGCATGCACCACCACACCTGGCGGTATATAGCTCTTTAATGCAGAAACTGATGGTTTCATTATGTTGGTTACATACTAGTTTTATTCAGGTTTGTTGAATAAGAAAAACAACAAAAAAACAAGAAATCCCCCATTATTTCTGCAGGTCCAGTCCTTCTCTACAGCAGGTGTTACAAACAGCCCTGAAGTAGTGGAGTACAGTCAGCAAGGGTGTAGGCAGAACTGTTCACAGTTCCTCTGTAATCTTTGCAAATACATATTCACTTCCTTTGGTGCCTTGCACAGTAAGGCCCTGTTAACCATGTGACAGAATAGAGGAAATACCCACAGGAAATAGTTCTAGTGACAATTTACTAGACAAGTTACAATTTAATGATGGTGGTGGTGATTGTTTCTTTCATTTTATTATTAATATTTTTTACAATAAGGGTGTAGCCTTTATACTCCACACACACAAAATAAAACAAGTGCTTATTACGAAAGAGTCCCTGCCCCCACCCCCCAGAACATCCTGAACATAGCAATTTGATGGAACAGAAAAATCAAGACAAGTCTGATTTCAAAACTTCAATAAAAAAGCAAAAGTATGTAATGCAACAGCTGTTCAACTTCCAACTCTAAATAGGCACCATCCAACAAACCCCAGTATTTTAATTTCTCCAGCACACATTCCAGTATAAATGCTCTGAACTGTAATTAGCTAGTAATTAATGGGAGTAGAACCTTAGAACAGAAGTTATATTGCTTCCCTGACCCTTTCTCTTACAGTTGGAGGGTACAGGTATTAAGGGATACAAAAGTCAAGAGACAGAAGAATTAAAAAGAAAAATTCCCAAAGCTGCTGCTTGGAGTAGAAAGGAAGACAGCGTCTTACAAATGTTCAAAAAATCCCAAGGCAAGTAACACAATTCATTCACTATCACTCCTACTTGAAAGAATAAAGAGATCAATGTCGGATTATAAAAAACTGCACTCTCAGAACTGTATTACAGGTTCACCAGAAACTATGGATGTAGTTTTAGGCTTTCTCAAGGAAAACAGGTTCAGTTCAGATCAAGTCAGATACTGTACATCTAGCCTGGCTGGATCAGTGTCTGGAACTGCTCACTGTCACCCTGAACAGCTGTAAACTAAACAATAGTGTGTAACTCCGTAGGAAGCTTAAGGATTGAAGATATATACACAGCTAATTAGATCTCCCCTGCTTCGCGCTCTTCAGAGCTCCTCCTGTCTTCTGATCTGCCATTAGCACTCTCATAGGACCGCTTCTTATCTTTTCGATCTCGGTCACGAGGTGATCTGTCTCTTGAACTCCTGTCTCTGTCACGTGATGCTAAGTCTTGGTCTCTGAATCTTTCTTTTGAGGATCTGAAAAATATTAATTTGAGGAGCAAAATATGTTGGGAAACCCAAAATCCAAATTAAAGAATAGGATAAATAGAAAGCTGAAGAAATATATTAGAATATATCCAAGACAGAGGAGTCAGTTTACTGACAGAAAAGAGCACTATTAGGGTCATAGATAAAGGCTCTAAAACAAGACAGGTAGCAACAAAAGCTAGGGTCAAAAAAGCATAAGCTAAAATGTCAAGATATTCTCAGTATCTTGGAGACAACCATAAAACATCTCCAATTCATAAAAAGTATTTAATATAAAAATAATACATTGATAATAGGTTTAAAAAGTAAAAGGTATTACCAATTTTTTTAAAAATATATAAGAACATGATTCCAAACTGGATGGAAATCAGTAACTTGGTATGGGGTCAGCAAATCTTTTGTTTGTTTGCTTATCTGGCCAGACAGTAAATATCTGAGGTGTTGCAGGTGATACACAGTATTTATGGTAGTAGAATTCTTTTCTTTACATCTACCTTTCAAGAATGTAAAACCATCCATAGCTTGCTGGCTATACAAAAACAGGATATAGGCCTTGTGTGGCCTGTAGGGAACAGTCTGCCAACACCGACAAGAGAACTACTCCATAATATGGCTTGTAAATAACCATTTTGTTAACTTAAAAATCTGCTTTGTTCCTCCTGAGTTAGATCATTAAAACTAGAATGGAAGACAAAAAAAAGATGATCGAACTATAATAAAGTTTCTTATTACCTTCTGCTTTCCCATCCCCATCCTCAGTAAGAAAGATACGTCACAAATAAGTTCATATCAGAGATTTAGAAGGAAAATGAGAAAATATTATGGAATTAGAATAGTCTTCTATACTCTCAACATCTAAATGAATCAGTAACAAATATTACTTATTTGGTTCTTTACAGGTGATGCAGAACTTTTACATAATTACCTCACCTAATCCATGTTCAAAATTAGGTTCTGGAGGCACCGGCAAGACCTGGATAATACTTTTCTYGTGTGCTGGCATTTGAATCCAGGCCCTTGAGTATACTTAGCATGTGTCTGCCAAGCTAAACCCCCAGCCCTGAGTAAGGAGACTTTCAGGAAGACATAAGGCAGGGAAAAAAAATACTATTATACTCCATTTTATACATACAGTTAAGAAGGGTTAAACTAAAAGGTTCAAATATTCTATCATATCAACATTGAACATTCTACTTAAGGTTTTAGTAAGCTTAATTTCAAAATGATGTGTTAAAAAAAAATTAGAGTGCAAGACTAGTGACTGCAAATTTAAACTAGTCTTATCCATAGCCTTTATGGGAATGAAATATGAAGAGAGATGATAGAAATGATACCTAAGAATAAAGACATTACCTACTGGTAAATCTCAGAGGTCAGTGATAATAACTGAAGGTGAGCATCAACTAACACTTTCTGAGAGATCACAATGTCCCACACAGGAGCAATTTCCATACACTACTTTATTCATACTACCAATAATCCTAATAAAGCAAATAAATATGTACTATCTCTACTTAAGAAATGGGGAAAGACAGAAGGGATAATGAAGATATTGGGCAAAGCCCCAGACTCTGAAGTCTGCACTATTCATTTCTACAAAGAGCAAGAGCAGAAAGCTACAAACAGTCCTCACTGACCCACGGGAAATGTTGCCAGGGAAAGATCACAAAGACAATCTACATATATCAGAGACCAGTGCTTCACAGCTTCACAGCAGGGCAAGGAAACAGCACAACGTCAAAGACTTTGAAAGGGAACTTTTACCTTCAAAAATTAAATCCACACTGGTAGCAATAACTTGATCTTGTGTGTAATAACAAATAAGTTTTAAGGGCAATTATCTGCTAATTTTTGGTTTAAAACAGTAACTTTTAAAGAGTAACTTGAATTCAAAGATGAGAAGTTCTCTTGAGAAAAGCAAAACTTTTAATAGTTTTACAAAAATAAGCCTCTTTATGAACATGCTGAAAATCTTAGATGTGAAGGGGTATCATGTAGTATGGGGGAAATTTCCTATACAACTTCACAAATGCAGGAAGCATCAGGGACTAAGATGACACAATCTCAGAGAAGGAGACTTCACACCCAGCCCTCCCATCTCCACCACCAATAAGGACATTTAAGAGTTCACAAACACCAGAAACAATGACAGTTGAGCAGGTCAACACAAGAAATTATCTAGATCTTCAACTGCCTAGCTGCATAATTCTCAAAATTTCTGTGTGCAGGTTAAGACTCATGGAGAATTTTTTTTAAAGGCCCATTTCTAGACACTGCACTGACGGTGGCCTCCAAGATATCCAGTTTCAAAAGTGTATGAGAGGTGGCCTTATTATAAGTAACTTTCCTACCTGATTAAATTACATCTACTTTATTCAAGTTTGATTACCTGAAGCTTTTTTTTTTTTTTTTATAATTACTTTGGCATTTTCCTCATCTAAACTTAGATGACTCACCCTATAATATCAAGGTTAGCACTATCTGTGGTCAAGGATGGCAGTCCTGTGTTGTCATACAGAGAACTTCTTAGAGCAACTTAAACATGGTTGCTCAACTATGTTATATTATTTTTTTACTAAGCATAATGTAGTAGAAAGTATATAATAATTCTTAATAAAGTCACCTTAAGGATTACTTAGAACAAGGTCAGAAATATTATAAAAATATTGATTGAGAGCCTATTAACCACTCAAGCTTGTAAATGATCTCAAGGAATGGGTAGCTGAGACTCAAAATAAAGGAAATATTTTTAACAGCTTTCCATGGATTTAGTATAGATTTAATGAAAAGGATTCCATAGAAAATGTGAGATTAGTAAGTATACTAGAAACACAAAAAAATATTTATCCTGTATATACTTAAGAATGGTTATTAAGGAAGGAGAAAAGTTAAAAAAAAAAAAAAGCAATTTTCAGTATGGTTTACATTCCATACAAATTACCTGGGTTGAGGGCTACCATGTGACCTGAGGTTTTGAGAGTTTAGTCTATATAGATTGTGACTGCTAAACTCCTCTACCACATTCTAAGCCACTGTTCTCGCTAAATATTCAGGTCCTTAAACATACCTTAAATATGCCTGCCCTCCTTGCACCCTTTTAAGTAGTTTTTGTTATACCAAGAAGTTGTGTAGCTTCCTTAAAATTCTGAATTTGCCCTGCACCAAGCAACAGTGTATACAACAATGCATTACCTGTACTTCAGATTAAACAAGAATATACTAGAATGTGTCTGCTCTGAAAAAGCGCACCAGCTCAAATAAGTTTGGAAAATAGTAAGTCAAACAAAGCTAAACAACTCTTTTAATGAAAGGACTTCTCAGAGTCCCTAATTTGTTAATACATACTGAAAAAACTGAAGAGTATTAGTATCTAAAAATTATTTGCCTGTAAAATACGTTTTTTCAAGACATACTAAGCAGAGAAAAGCAGTAACCTCTGCACATATCAGTTTCAATTTCTTCCTCTGGCTCATATGTAATTTATTCTTTCTGAACTACCCATATAATCAGGAAAAAAATGTATACACCCACACACAAATGTGTACATATCACCAGGTGCAAGTTTTCAAACCAATAATCTAAACTCTAAACATAAGTAACATAAGTAAACAAAAGGCTAAACCATCAAGGTAGCTCCATATCCTCTGATCGGCACATCAGTACCTCCTCTTGGATCGCTCTCTGCTCCTATCTCTAGAACTGTGACGACTTCTCTGGTGACTACGGCTCCGGCTGCGGCTGCTGGAGCGGGATCTGTGGCGATGGCGTTTCTCCCGAGACTTGGATCGAGTCCTCCTCTTGCGTTCTCGAGACATAGAGCGAGACCGGTGTCTGCGATGTTCTCTGGACCTGGATCTACAAAAAGACAAGATTTTATTTCATTTTATTATAATTTTGTAAGCAATACATTTATTATTTACTAATGCCTGTTCTTTAAAGAGAAATTATTCCTTAGTAGCCTGTCTTACTGCCAATTTTATTCCAAATCAACTCAATTTATACTAAAATAAATTGCTATATGTTAACACCTGCAAACAAGAAAATATCAATTCTGAGAGGTCAATCAGTATTGTGTGAATTTACTTCAGGAATATAACAAATGAGAGCAACAATCTTCACAACTACTACATGCTAGGAATTATAATGTCTAAATGCTTTAGGGACTTAATTGCATTTAGACTAAGAATTTTTGAAATATATTAGAAATTAAATATGTACCTGATGGACATGGACAGAAGAAAGGAAGGAGAAGCATGAGAAAGAATACTATTCGGGATAAATTATCCTCTCTGAATTGAAAAGGCTATATGACCACAGATGTAAGTTTTAAATACCCACAGTATAATAGATCACAGTGTAATTAAAACAGTGAGGTAGTTCTCTACTCAAGTAGCACATAACTGGAGAGGGGGAAAAAAAAAAACATGCAAAAAAATCACTTTTGAGAACTTTACCTAAACTGGGGTGGGGGGGGGGTTACTAATAAGTATATAAGAGTAGAGATGGAAAAACACTTCTGTATTCTCAACCAGATCACTTGCGTGGAAGGGTAGAGGTGACATGCAGAGAACAGAAATATTTGAGGGAAACAAAGAGGAGAGAAAGGTATACTGTTTGATTTAAAAAGTTGCTTTCAGGGGGCTGGGATTGTGGCTCAGTGGTAGAGCGCTTGCCTAGCACGTGCAAGACCCTGGGTTCGATCCTCAGCACCACATAAAAATAAATAAGTAGGGGCTGGGGATGTGGCTCTAGCGGTAGCGCGCTGGCTTGGCATGCTTGCGGCCCGGGTTCGATCCTCAGCACCACATACAAACAAAGATGTTGTGTCTGCCAAATACTAAAATTCTCTCTCTCTCCCTCTCTCTTTAAATAAATAAATAAATAAATAAATATTGTGTCCAGTTACAACTAAAAAATAAATATTAAAAGAAAAACTTTTTAAAAAATTGCTTTCAGGGCTGGGGATGTGGCTCAAGCGGTAGCACGCTTGCCTGGCATGCGTGCGGCCCAGGTTCGATCCTCACCACCACATACAAACAAAGATGTTGTGTCTGCCAAAAACGAAAAAATAAATATTAAAATAAATAAATAAATAAATACATAAAAAATTGCTTTCAGATGGCACGGTGGCGCATGCCTATAATCCCAGTGGCTTTGAAGGCTGAGACAGGATACAGAAATCAAAGCCAGCCTCAGCAATGGCAAGGTGCTAAGCAACTTAGTGTTACCCTGTCTCTAAATAAAATACAAAATAGGGATAGGGATGTTGCTCAGGGGTTGAGTGCACAAGTTTAAAAAAAAAAAAATGCTTTCAGAGTAATGAAGTTGTTCTAAACTAGTATGTGGTGATAGTTGCATAGCTTTAAATTTATTAAAAATCACTGACATGCAAATTTAAAATAGGTAAAACTTACGGTATAGAATGTAAATGATAAAGTGGTTTAAATTTTTAAAGTGCCTTGAGAATGTGATATTTTCTCATAACTTGATAGAGTACATTCAAAAACAAATTATTCAGATACAGTTTACACTAAGTTCATTTTCAAATGATTATTTTATATAAGAAATGAAGTTGAAAAGCTTTCAATGTCTGTCAATGTTATAGTCAAAGAAAGGTAAGTAATGTGGACCTAACATCACAGCCAAACAGAATATTTCCACAACTGAAGAGTGCATTTCCAAAAAGAAATGTAAAATTCACTAAATAAAAATTTTATCAAGTAACATTTTGTTTAACTACTCATTTGGACCTATTATGAATTCTTTCTTCCAATGCATATTTTTATTCAACTTTAAAATAAGTACAAGCCAGGAACGGCAACACCACACCTAAATAATCATAGCTATTAAGAAGGCCGAGACAGGTGAATTCCAAGTTTGAGGACAGCCTGGCAATTTAAGTAGACCCTGTCTCAAAAAAAAAGTAAAAAGAGGAGCTGGGTGTGGTGGCATATGTCTGTAAATCAAGCAACTTGGGAGACTGAGGCAGGAGGCCCACAACTTTAATATCAGTCTCTGCATCTTGGGCCTTCAGTGATTTTAATAAAACCCTGTCTCAAAAAATAACAAGTTTGGGAATGTAGCTCAATGGTAAAGCACTCCTGGGATCAACCCCCAGAACCCCCACCCCCCCACACAAAAAAAAGGAAGGAAGGAAAGAAGGGAGGGAGGGGAGGGAGGTTAGGAGAGTCAGACAGATGGGGGGAGAAGGAGCAAGGGAGAGAAGAAGGGTCAAAAAGGTCTGAGGACACGGCTCAGCAGTAGAGCACCCTGGGGTTCAACAGGTATTGCAAAACACACACACACACACACACACACACACACACACACACACACACCACAAAAAAAAGAAAGAAAAAAAAACCACGTCCTTGGCCTCTAAGAGCTTATACTCTTTAGTTCTATATAGATCTCTGTCTAGTATAAACAGAGTAGGGTAAAGATGGGTAGAGAAATGGGGAAGTAATATTTTATAAAGAATATGCAGGGGCTGAGGATGTGGCTCAAGTGGTAGCACGCTCGCCTGGCATGCGTGCGGCCCGGGTTCGATCTTCAGCACCACATACCAACAAAGATGTTGTGTCCGCCGAAAACTAATAAATAAATATTTAAAAATTTTCTCTCTCTCTCTTTAAAAAAAATTAAAAAAAAAAAAAAAAGAAAATGTAAAGTGGTTTAAAAAAAAAAAAAAAGAATATGCAGATGGACCTGGCCTCAGTGGGGCATGCCTGTAATCCCAGAGGCTCTGGAGGCTGAGACAGGAGGATCTTGAGTTCAAAGTCAGCCTTGGCAAAAGTGAGGTGCTAAGCAACAAAAGTGAGGTGCTAAGCAACTCTAAATAAAATACAAAATAGGTCTAAGGATGTGGCTCAGCGGTCAAGTGACCCTGAGTTTAATTCTGGGTACCAAAAAAACAAACAAAAAAAGAATACACAGATGGGCTGGGGTATTCTCACTGGCCTGGAATGTGAAAATCCCTGGGTTAGATCTCCAGTACCATTAAAAAAAAAAAAAAAAAAAAAAAAAAAAAAANTGAGGTGCTAAGCAACTCTAAATAAAATACAAAATAGGTCTAAGGATGTGGCTCAGCGGTCAAGTGACCCTGAGTTTAATTCTGGGTACCAAAAAGAAAAACAAAAAAAGAATACACAGATGGGCTGGGGTATTCTCACTGGCCTGGAATGTGAAAAACCCTGGGTTAGATCTCCTGTACCAAAAAAAAAAAAAAAAAAAAAAAAAAGAATAGGGAGAGGCTTTTCTGGTAGGATAGCATTTTAAGGAAGACTAAAAGAAGAGAATAAGTACAGTAGTCATTTCAGAGAAGAGCATACAGATGCAACGGTCCTGAGGTGGCAGAAGCCTTGGCATACTGAAGGAACCAGAGGAACATATTTTGCTGGAATTAAGTAAGGCAGGGGTAACCTCAGGGTCTTACAAGCAGGATGACTTTACCATTAAAACCAGGACACTATGAATGGTCAATTATATAGAATAAGGTGGGGGTTATTAATAAAATATCCAACGGAACTATCAGAGGGTAGACTGGCATTTATGGTCCCCCTACTTAACGACTGTAATAAAGACTTTGACTTCTATGAATGAGATGGAAAACCTTTAGATGATCTAATGCCATCTATCTATTTACTTACCTACCTACCCGACTTCCTACCTACCAACCAACCAACCAACCAACCAACCAACCAAGCCCTCTATACAGGGCTTCCTTCCCAGCCCTCAATTTGGCAGATTTCTATTTTTTCTTTATTTTGGGGGGTATCAGGGAGCCACAYACCCAGCCCTATTTTCTATTTTATTTAGAGACAAGGTCCCACTGAGTTGTTTAGTGCCTCGCTTTTGCTGAGGCTGGCTTTGAACTTGCAATACTTCTGCCTCAAACTCCCAAGCCGCTGGGACTATAGGCATTCGTCACCGCGCCCAGCAAATGGTTCCTTTATTAATGTCTGAGTTTTTGTATAATTTTTGGTTTGTTTGTTTTGGGTTTCCCCCTCAACCCCAATATATACTACGCCTAGTAATTTACCACACTGACTACTCAGTTACATCCTTGGCCCCAATCCGTCCCTTTTTGAGACAAAAAAGGCCCAGCTGACTTTGAATTTGTGATCCTTACAYCTCAGCCTACCAAGTAGCTGAGATTATAGAGGTATGGACAACTGTGCCTGGATTGTTTTTAGGGTTTTAAGCAAAAATATCACTGAAAGATTCTAAAATATACTAAGGGGTAACTAACAGAAACATAAGGTTTTTATTTCATAACAACAAATGTTCTACTTTTTAGGACTAAGTTCTTAGAAATAAGTTACTCTCTGGAGTTTAAGACTTTGCAGGTTTCAGAAAGGTGATGTAATATGAATATAACCAGTGTAACTCAACAACATGTACAACCACAAGAATGGGAAGTTATACTCCATGTATGTATGATATGTCAAAATACACTCTATGGTCATGTACAACTAAAAAGAATAAACAAAAATTGTTTTAAAAGGTGATGTAATCAGAACAAGAGAAATGGTAGAATCTGGAAAAGAATGAAAAAGGACATTCTAGGTGGGAATGGATTTATAAAGAAAGGCTCAAAACAAAATGAGCACAGCAAGAAAAGAACCAAGAAAGAAGTAAAACACATTTCTCTATCTTTCTCAGAAAATTTTTYGATTAATTAGAAAAAGACTTTTTAAAAATACCCCAAATATTACTACTAAAAACCAAAGGAAGTATTATCTGTCCCTTCCCTCCTTATATCTGTTAGTGTGCCTCTGAAATTTTTTTGTACTCACAATACAAAGGGAAGAACGGTAGACTCACAAAAGGCAAAAGTGAGGCACAGACTAAATAGCTTAGTTTCCCTTACCTACTGAGGATCTCATTCAAAAATTTATCTAACTAATCAACGTATTTCTATTTTCCACAGGTACAACAACCTCTTAGAATGCTGTTCCTTAAATGTACCACACACACTGACTTTTTAAAAGTTACCATATTTACTTAGCATGAAAAAGATTTTAAAGAATTATTTAAGAATATTTTGACATCTTTCCCTTGTAATTCCAGAGTACTATATATAATTTTACTCTGATAAACTTTGTGATTCAAGAATATCTTTTGATCAGTTTCTCCTAAAATGACAATGTTCAAAACTGAACCAAAACAAAGAAACAGTAATAATTTATTAATTCTCATTAACTTTTATAAGACAGTTAATTTATCTTCACTTGTTGAAAAACACAACTTCACTACCTATCTTATATAAATACCTACCTTTTAGGATTCTTGCTATGTGATCGGGACCTAAAAAGAGAATATCTATTTTTAGAAAAGTGACTATAAATTAAAAACATCAAAGTGTATATTTAGCACACACTTYCCCCCCCCCCCACAAAATGTACCACCAATTACAGACTTCCCCATCTTGCCATATGAGATCCCTTAACTGGATACCTGCTCTTAAATAAAAAATAATATGTTCCTGGAAACTAACACAATAGTATATCACACTCCTTACTGCTTCAGAAACCATTTGCTAGCCTAGAAAAATTATGTTATTTATACTTTTGTCACTTGTTTTTCCCTTCTGGGAAAAGAATAAAATTTCTATGATTTGGAATGCATATATTTGGGGGCTACAAACTCATACTATAATCCCTATAGTACCCAGCTCAACTTTACATATCTTCACATGACCCAGCATACTGTTAACACACAATGAGTAATCAATCACGTGTGTGTGTGTGCGTTTTGTGGTATTAAGGATTGAACCCTTGGCCTCACACATGCTAGGAAGGCACTCAACCAATTTGCAACACCCCCAACTTATTAACTTTTTTTATTTTTGAGATATGGTGTCAGTAAGTTGCCCAGGCTGGCATCAAACTTGCAATCCTTCTGCCTTAGCCTCCCAAAAGTTACTGGAATTACATGTGTGTACCACTGTCCAGCAGACATGAGTTTTAATTCTGGCTCTACCACATCTGTGAGTGGGTCACATACCCTTAGCTTATTAGTCTGACAGTGACAAAGAAGGATACAAATTTTTCATTGGGGTATGTGTATATGAGGATTAGGCAAACTAATTAAGGCAAATTTCTTGGTAAGTGAATTTCTGCAAGCCTCCCTTTTAATTTTTTGCAGTGCTGAGAATCAGACCCAGGACTCTGGGCATTGCTACACAGGCGCTCTACCTCTGAGCCATTGCCCTGGCCCCAGTATAGTGAATTTCTTAGTACAATGCCTGGCATACAGTAAGGACCCAGTAAGTGATAAGGATTGTTTTTCAGTTGTCCTTTTTAGCACCATAGTCAGAATCCCTTCTCATATAATCTTTTCAAAAATATTTTTTTTAGTTGTAGTTGGAACAATACCTTTATTTATTTATTTTTATGTGGTGCTGAGATTGAATCTAGCACCTTGCATGTGGTAGGCGAGTGCTCCACCACTGAGCCACAACCCCAGCCCCTCCTATAATTTTTATACTAGCATTTAATTACACCACTTCTCTCAAGGTCATAGAGGAAAAATTTACACATTTCTGAAAGAGGTGTACTTTTTATTTGCACTGGGAATTGAACCCAGGGGTACCTTACCATTGAGCTACATACCCAACCCTTTTTATTTTTTATTTTGAGACAGGGTCTTGCTAAGTTGCTTAGGGTCTCACTAAGTTGATGAGGCTAGCCTCAAACTTGCAATCTTCCTGAGTCACTGGGATCACAGGTGTCACCACACCCAGCTAAAAGAGGAACACATTTAAAAATATATATATTTATTTTTTAGTTGGACACAATATCTTCATTTATTTTTATGTGGTGCTGAGGATCGAACCCAGGGCCTCACACGTGCTAGGCGAGCGCTCTACCACTGAGCCACAACCCCTGCCCCCTGAAAGAGGAACACATTTTATAATCAAAGTAGAAAAAAAAGGTCAGCMAGCAAGCAAAGGAGTTGATGGTTTTCTTTCTCATTATCTACAAATGTGAAAGCATATTCTTGCAAAAAATGTTTGTTCTCATTTGATTATCCTCTCAGTTGAATCTTAAATTCAGAATTCCAATGTTAAATAAAATGCTATTTATTCTATCCTAAATATTACAATACTTAGTAATATCCCTGTAAGAACTTAATGTACACCAAAGAACAAACAGATAAAGGTCTGAGGTAAAATTTATGGTAAATGAAAAAAATATATATTCATAGCTAGCTCTGTGTGTGTATACAGAGAGCTAAAGAAACAATATCCACACAGCTTTGTTCCATTTTGTTCTTAAAGTGCAAAAGGATTACCAGTTAAAAGTCAACACAAATAAAGTTTAAAATTTCTTTAATAGGCTCAAAGCTTAGAAGTAGTTAGCATGATCTACTCACATACTGTAAAGGGTTTTAATGAAGTTAGGCACATCTACAAACTCTGAGAGGTGTTAAAATTTTAGAGATACCATACACATTATGATTAAGGAAACATCACCTATTAGAACCGTAAGTTAATCACTTATGGCATGCCTGTCCATCATAAATTCATCTTAAAAAACTATGAACACAACTCACAAAGAACGTTGCCACAATGATGCTATGCAGTTTCGGTTGCCAATGGGTAAAAGTAACTCATATAATTCTATGCCAACCTAGTACAAATCTAGTGCAATATGAAAAACCAAAAAGCTAGAATACAGTTTTGTTATAAATCTTATAAGACCTAAAGACAAAAAGCATTTTCTATTCACTCTTCCACACATTCTATAAATTGCATTTAGTTTAATGGCTAAGGCTTAATACAGATTGAGCATCCCTAATCTGAAATTCAAACTTTTTCAGCACAGATATGATGCTCACCAACTTTAAAATTTGGGAGCATTTCAGATCCAGAATTAGGGATGTTCAACTAGTAAGGTTTTTGCAGACACTTCAAAATCAAATAAAAACTCCCAAATCTGACACATTTCCTCCCAAGCACTTTGGAGAAAGGATACTCAGCCTGTATGTCTGTATAAAAACTGCCTTTCATGGTAATATTTTTAAAAAGTAAATGCAATTTTCCAATGCTCCAGAAGAGACTTAATGTCATCTAAAATCATGTATCAGAAACAATTCTTTTCAGAATCAGGAAACTTAACTTCAAATATTTGGGACTATTTATCATGCCATACCTTCTCAGCTTCTCCCTTTCTTCCCTCTCCCTTTCTTCTCTTCGTTTCAGGCGCTCCTGGTTTCTTTTCTCCTGCTTCTCAGCTACAACTCTCTTAAAAACAATAAATAAAAAGTTTATTTACTAGGTCAATTATTAATTATCTTTACCTTAAACTTTACCATTTCTGGTTCCCAACATAGTATTATTAACTTCAAGATCTGTTGGGGAAAAAAAAAATTCAATTTGACCCTGTCAGATGTAACTATTAAGCTCACACCCTACTTTCTATAAACTTCCTCCCTTTTATGGAAAATGTGCAATATCTCAAACTTTTCCATGATTTCTTCATGATATTTCAAAATTACTTCAATAAGACTTTTCTGAATGTTTCCCAGCATTATTTTTTATATATACTTATAATGAACATCAACCATCACAAATATCCATTCCTTATCATTTCCAWTGAGGCAATGGTACCATTTTAATGCTGCTGCCTTTAAAGATATGAGTAAAGTGATAAAGGATTCTGTTGCTAAGTCTGTTTCTGCAAAGAATCCCAAGTATGCAGTGTTATCAACAGAGCCCATCAACTCTCTGTTAAAATGAAACCCATTTTGACAGTTTTTAGAAATTGTGAGATTTATTCCAGCTACTCAAAAAAATGGAGAGGGGATAAATACATACTGAAAATATGGTTATGTCCCTATTTTTTTTTCCTTTCTTTCTTTTTGGTACTGGGGATTGAACACAGAGGTGCTTTACCACTGAGCTACATCCCCAGCCAATTTTATTTATTTTGAGACAGAATTTTGCTAAATTGCTGAGGGTCTAAGTTGTGAAGGTTGGCCTTGAACTTCCTGCCTCAGCCTTTCCAGTCACTAGGTTTATAGATGTGCACTACCACAACTGATTTCYCTGGGTGTTTTCTGACTCCTCATTATTGTAAAAGTCAAGCCGCGAATCTTTGGATCAATTCCAGTGATACAATTACATGGGAAGTGACTCTCCAGTGTTGCCAATATTTGGGCCAGTCTTCAACTTGTGACAAAAGGCTACAATACCATATTCTTTAAAAATAAGCCACATTAGATAGCTGAAAGGCAACTCTGCAAAGTAACTCTGCCTTTTACCACTTCAAAATACCTCACTTTTTTTGTGTGTATATATTTGCTTATTCCCTCAAAAGCACTAGGGAGATAAGAACCATGCTGCCTTTTTACAATAACACATATTAATTAATAGCGAGTGGGGCTGGGGATGTGGCTCAAGTGGTAGCGGTGCTCGCCTGGCATGCGTGCCGCCCGGGTTCGATCCTCAGCACCACATACAAAACAAAGATGTTGTGTCCGCCGATGATTAAAGAATAAATATTAAAAAAAGTTCTCTCTCTCTCTCTCTCCCCCCTCCCCCCTCACTCTCTCTTAAAAAAAAAAAAAAATAGTGAGTGTCCTCCTTTCATAGGCTGTTCTAATTCCTTCCTGAAATGGAGGAAGGTAGACAAAACTAGAGGTTCTATTTTTTTAAAAAACATTTTTTTTTTAAGTTTAATACCTTTACTTTGTTTTTATGTGGTGCTGAGAATCGAACCCAGTGCCTCACACATGCTAGGCGAGCGCGCTACCACTGGAGCCACATCCCCAGCCCCAAACTAGAGGTTCTATAGGCTTATATTTAGTAAAGAACTCCAAAATATTTCAACACATACTGGGCTCATTTTCTCAATTCTCCTATAAATGTTATATGAATATATAATTATTGATTTTACTGAAAAGGATAACACTTTACATTTTAGGGTAAGGTGTTATTTTGTAGAAAAGAGTCAGTTTAGAAACCAATTTAAATGACTAATTCAACACAAAATGATACCTCCCAGAATAACAGAATAATACTGAAAAGCCTTTTTCTCAGACATCATCCATTAAACCTGCCTGAATCTCCATTTATAATTCTACACTATTCAGTGTGAACTGTTGACATAAATCACAACTSAGAATACTATTCCAAAGACAGCTAATACCAGATCAAAAAATAAGTAGCAAAATAGGACAGTCAGTGATATTAATTTACCAAAGTACCTTTAATTCTTCAAGCTTCTCTCTTATTTCAATAAATCCCAGGTGCAGTTTACCCCCAAAATGATCAGCCAGTCGTCTGTCATTATCATGAAGACCTAAGTAGGCAGAGCAGACTTCACAGACCCGAAGTTTCTGCTGTTGGAAACTGGAAGCTGGCATAGAATTCCGATAAACTTCCTAAACAAAAGTGAGGGATAAAACAAAAACAAAAACAAAAACATAAATTTCATTAAAAATCAAACAAAAGGCCACAGAACATTCTGGGGTCTCCAATGCCTTGCTAGATGTGTCTTCACCAACAGCTGTCAACCACCCTCTCCTCACACCTCAGGGAGGGGCCTGAAGACCAAGAAAGGATTTTCAGAGCAAAGCAACCAGCTGAAATTGAATCAGTCTATACTGGCTCCATGAGAGTAAGACTCTACCTACACTGCATAGGAGAGGGAAGCCTTGGAGAGCACAGCTGCTGGATAATTGCCCTTGCTCTGAATCCCCCCCACACACTTTTTTAAAAAAAAATCTGCCTTTTAAAAAATCTTAGGACATCAGTATTATTACACAATGTGTGAGAAACAGAAATTTATTAAGAACCATCTCTACTCTCCTAGAAGTTTGAAGAAAGGACAGAGAACAGCAGGGCAGGAGAAAGTGTCCCAGGGAAAAGAGCCTCTGATGTCTCTTGCAGGTGGAGACAGGAGACTCCTGGTAGAATCGAGCTCCTGGCTGGAATCCGTGCAGAAAGCCCGAGCCAGACTGCATGCACACCACATGCACGTCACAGTGATGCCCACACCAGGATCCACAGATCTCAGGGTCTTCTCACTGTCCACTGATTTGTCTGTCTCTGTATTTTCATTGGAGTCACTCTGCTTCTAAATCTAGCATGTTTCTGCCCTTTTTCTCTGAATGCCAGCTCACAAAAYCAAGGCATGCAACAACGCAGTTGTTGAATGTAAATGGCTATCCTAGTAACCAACCCCCTTCTAGCCCTTGCTGTTGTTATGGACTGCCCTATAGAGATACCTTGGGAGGATGTGCTGTTGTCTGCTATGGCCCAACTACTGTGGATAGGAGGCTATGCTGGGAGTGGAGGTCCTCACATCCAGGAAACAGACAGACAGAAGGCACACTGGCACATCCACCACCTTTCTGCCCTGACTTCTTGCTTGGCCATCTCAGGTAGCTGATGCTCAAAGGGATAGAGGGAGGGTAGAAAGGGCAGGTTCACTGGCACTCCTTTAAGTGAACACTGAAAGGATATATAGGACCTGGCAAGGCCTAACTCCCCAACACATAGGCTTCACCTGGAATGTGTAAGCATGCCCGTGGATTATCTAGTGCTGGGGTACCAGGTATGTAGCCACTGCCTCATCGTATTTAGATTTGCCAGGGACAACCAGGTATTACAGAGCTCAAAACCCTCGTCAAGCATGACTGCCATAATTGTTGGGTCCAGACTTAACAGAATAGCTGGGTAAATATTCCTCACCCTGGCTCTATCATGGGTGGCTCATTATTTGCTCTACTGTGGGCCTCTGTGTGGGGTCCACCATCAGTATTTGACTGATCAGCATTCCATGCTTCCTTGGAAATGTGCAGGGGATTGTCATATCTTGCCTACATGAACTTCTTCAGTTGCTTAGTGGTGTTTGCCATAAATCAGTGACACCCAGGCTCTAGACATCCACCATGGGGCTCTCATATTCTTTCCACTGGATGACTTCAGGGGTAAGGTAGAGGAGAGTGCCCTCAAACTCATTCAGCTTCTGCCCAGCCACGAATCCAGTGCTCTGGCTCAAGTGGACGAGTTTGAAATTGCCTCCAGCAATCTCCAGGATGTTCTCTATCTTAAGGTATAGGTGCACAATGCCCTTCTTGTGGCAGTAGCTCAGGACACATGTGATCTGCCTGCATAGTCTTCAGGTCTCTTCCTCCAACATACCACCAGATCCAAGAGGCAGTGCCATAGCTGTTCCCCCATGTGCATGCTCCACGATAATGTAAGCTACCCTGCCCAATGCCCCTTAGAATCTGATTATGTCCATGAAGTTGGTCTTGTAGCACCTGGGCCCTTGAAGCACTACACTGTTCTGAATACTTTTCCTACCTATCACTGGAATACCAAATAAGGATACCAGATTAAAAGCAAACAAACAAACAACAACAACAACAAAAAAAAAAACAAAATAAACCCAAGTTTAAAATACATATCGAAACACCACAACCATCAACCACACTATCTAGAAGTCCCACAGCTCACCACCACCAAAAGTTTTCTGTACTTATCCAGCCAGTGTTTGAAATTTCCTCACAATGGCTCCTTATGAGGTGACAGCAGGAAACGGCCCAGTCATTCCAGTGCCCATCTCAGTTTTTGGCCTCTAGGACTTTCATGATAAGAATAAAAAAGGACCAGGCTGATATGGTGGCCCATGCCTGTAATCCCAGCAATCCCAGGAGGGTGAGGCAGGAGGGTCACAAAAGTTCAAAACCAGTCTCAGCAATTTAGTGAGGCCCTAAGCAACTCAGTGAGACCTGGTCTCCAAATAAAAAATAAAAAGGGCTGTGGACGTGGCTCAGTGGTTAAGCACCCTTGGGTTTAAACACTGGTATAACAAAACAAAATAATAAGAAATTGACTCAAGAAGCCTTTTGCTTCTGTGGGTTATGGAGACTGATATTTACTTGCTTAGAAATTAAAATTTGTAGAATTTTTTTTAAAAAGTCAAGCAAGAGGGCTAGGAATGTGGTTCAGTAGTAGAATGTTTGTGTACATGCACAAATCTCTGAGACTGACCCCTTGCAAAAAAAAAAAAAAAAAAAAAGGCATGGAAGAAAATATAAAAAAGCATGGCTATTTTGTTATGAAAAGTATACATTCTCCTTTGTCCCCCTGTCCATTACATCCTATCCTAGACTACTTCCCTAGAGGTCAAAAGTCACAGGTCACAGGTCCACACACCTTTGCCAAGAAACTACCTTAATAGTTCTACCACGATACAGAATACAACAGTCTGAAAAGGGTTTCTCAATGTTCTTTTCTATAGTTTTTGTTAAAAACATGATGTGGTCAGCCTCTAAACTGCATACCAGTGAAGGGTCAAGCAAACAGAAGCCAACTATAATTGTAAAGGAGTACATGTTTTCCACATTGTTAGACTTCCTTCCCAAAGATTGTTTTCCCCTCCTCGGAAATGTGGATATGCATACACATGATAAGTCTCCCCACTAAAAGGAATACAGTTCTACTAAGATAAGAGATAAAATGTGTCCCGAGATTAACTCACACATTTTCATTTGTATGAATTAATTCATTAAACAGTAAAAAATGGTGAGTTTCCCTATATATTGTCCTCTTTTTTCTTTACTAACAGGACTCTGACTTTATTTGAGGTAGCAACACACCCAGCTAAAAATATGACATTTTCCAAGCTTCCACAGAACTTTGGCTAAGATACTAATGGAAACTGCCAGGCAGAAATCTATAGGAAAGTTCTTCAAAAGAGGATAAATAAATTCAGATAAAAACCCACCAGTGACTGATGTAACCCTGCAGATAAAAATGAATGAGAAAGTGTATTTATACAGGCTTAAAAGTGTCAATACCAAGATATTTACTAGTTACAAAAGGGAAACGCAGTAACTTCCTAGGAAAAAAAAATATGTACCATCACCAAAAATGGGGAAAACCACTAACAAATGTTTCAAAAGGACACATCCCTACAGTGATATTCCTATAAAAATCTAATCATGAGAGGCTCGACATGTAGTTCAGTGGTAGAGCACTTGCTCAGTATGTGCAAGACCCTCTTTTCAATCCTCACTACATGAAGGGAAAAAAAAAGAAAGGAAGGAGAAAGAACAAAACAAGAAAAGCAAGAAAGGGAAGAAAGAGAAAAAGAAGTCTAACTATGAGAAAATGTTAAGACAAACTCTAACTAAAGGACATTTTACAAAATAACTGATGAATACTTATCAAAACTATGAAGATTGTATTCTTCAAAGACAGACTAGAACAGTTCCAGATTAAAGGAGACTAAAGAGGCCTAACTAAATGACACATACAATCTTGGACTGGATCTTGGAGAGGAAAAATTTTCTTTCTTTAAGAATAAAGAATATGGGCTGGGGTTGTGGCTAGGCGGTAGAGCGCTCACCTCGAGTGTGCAAGACCCTGGGTTCGATCCTCAGCACCACATAAAAATAAATAAGTGAAATAAAGGTATTGTGTCCAACTACAACTAAAAAATAAATATTAAAAAAGAACAAAGAATATTACTGGGACAACTGATGATATGTGAACAAAGTCTTTAACAGCCTTGTATAAATACTAATTCTTGATTTTCATAATTGTGCTGTGCTTATATAATAAAACATCCTTGTTTTTAACACAAAGTATTTGGGTTAAAGAAGCATCTGTTTTCAGAGTCTCTTTATCATTAGGCAATATTTGCAGCCCTTTTTTTAAAAAATGATTTTATTATGAGACAGGGTCTCACCAAGGTGTCCAAACTAGCCTTGAACTTGTAATCCTCCTGCCTCAGCCTACAGAGAGCTGGGATTATAGGTGTTAGCCACTGGCCTGACAAGAGGCATCTTAACTGTAACAAATAGACATAGTTTAGCCACATACAGGGGAAAAAATGATAAAGTAAACGTTACTTTAAATGGGGTAAAGGATAGAAGAGAAAGTCTTTGTACTATTTTTTACTTTTGTGAAAATAAATCAAAATAAAAATTTTTAAATTAAAACATACATGTACAGATACATGAAGGCATGTCAACTCCATTTTAATGCTTTGATTTTTTTACTTCCTTCACGTAAGGCTGTAGTTTAGACCAATACTGCCACAAATTGATAAGCATCAAGATGAGTCCACACAGAAAGGATGGCTAAACATAGAACTAGAAATAGTCTGTATGTTGGATGGCATTATGGGGTCAAATTATGTTTCCCTAATCCTAAATATTAGCTGAGAAAATTTGTGGCTTTTAAGCCATAAATTAGTTTTTTTATTATATAGAGCTGAGCACAATCTATAATAGAAAAGAAAATTTTTTAAAGTGTTATTCTTAGTTAAAAAAAACTGATAATAATATATGGATAAGAGGCTAACAATGTTAAGCTACTGTGTAATATTAGTAAACCTCTGAGTACACATATATTAAGATTCATAGAGCCAGATGCAGTGGTGCACGCCTGTAATCCTAATGGCTTGGGAGGCTGAGGCAGGAGGATTGTGAGTTCAAAGGCAACCTCAGCAACAGCGAGGTGCTTAGCAGCTCAGTGAGACCCTGTTTTTAAATAAAATACAAAATAGGGCTGGGGATGTGGCTCAGTGGCTGAGTGCCCCGGAGTTCAATCCTCAGTACCAAAGAGGGGGAAAAAAATTCATGAAACTGGCAATTATATTGAAGGAAAAGAAATAATGCTCACTAGCTTGATTATCTTACGAGTCATCATGGAAATTAACTATAATTTAGCTATAGCCATAAAGTACTTTTCATTTAAAAATTACTGTTTATTTTCTGGATTGACAAAATTGCACTTACAGAAACCCTAAATATTTAGACACTGAAATTATCAAGAATGGCTATCTGGTATATCTTTTTCTATCTTTCTATTATCATTGGCCATTTAAATTTAACGTAATTGTTGGTATGCTGGGTTTAAATTTACCATCTTGCAATTTATTTTCTACTTGTCCTTTACATTATTTATTCCTTTGCTCCTGCTTCTTTTAGAGTATTTTTTTAGAATTTCATTTTATTACTACTATTATCTATAGCTCTTTTTTCTACCTCTAATATTGTCTGTAGGGCTTATGGTATACAGCTAACAGAAACTTAATTTACAAGAAAGCCTAGGTAGTTATATAAATATTAGATAAAATAGAACTGAAAGCAAGGGACATTCCCAAGGATAAGGGGGGATATTTGGAAATAATTAATGGGTCCATTCATCAAAAAGGCATAATCCTAAATGTATATTCACCTAATAAAAGAGCTTCAAAACAGATGATGAAAGCAAMTGACAAAAGGGAAAAACACAGATATACATCCACAATTACTATAGCTTGAAATTTATCCACTCCCCTCTCAATAAATAGCAAAATAGAAAATCAATAGGAAAAGCTGGGCATATAGTGGCATGCACCTATAATCCCAGCTATGCGGGAGGATATCAAGTTTGAGGCCAGCCTGGGTTACTTGGTGAGATCTCTCCTCAGAATAAAAAATAAAAAGGGCTGGGGATGTAGCCCTGTGGTGTTCTACCCAGTGCTCTCCCACTGGGCTAAATCCCAAGTACCACCACCCCCGCCCCCACCCAAAAAAACCTTTCACAAATAAAACTCCAGTCCTAGATGGTTTATGGTAAATTCTACCCCAAGAAATAATACCAATTCTAGAAAAAAACATTTTCAGAAAGAGAAAACACTTTCCAACTCATTTTATAAATTGATATTACCCTGATACCAAACCAAAGACAAAGTTTTTACATCAATAAGTGATTAAGAATTAAGACTGGTTAGGGAGGCCAGGGATGTGGCTCAGTATTAGAGAGCTTGCATAAGGCCCTAGGTTTGATCCCAGTACAGCACAAAACAAAACAAAAACAAAAAAAGACTTAAGACTGGTTGGGAAATAAGATACTGGGCATAAGTCTTTCTTCAACTCTCTCCTTTCTGTGGAAAACATCTAACATGTATTAGTTTCTTCCCTTCCTTTAAGTAATATTTTTATTATAATCACATAATATCATAAGGAATATTGAACAATATTTTCTTGATGTTCAGGATCATTGTAACGGTAGCATTATAGGAGTACTATGAGGAGCAATCACCATAGTTTTTCCTTTTCTCCTCCCTCCCTCAATTCTTGCCTTTCTCCTCTGCTGACCAGCAACATTAAGGGAGGTTAAGGAAAGATGATAAAGGAGATATACTAAAACAAGAAAGCTGTGATAAGGACTTCTCAGGAGCCACCCTACAGTGTTAGAACTGAGATAATGATCCATCAGACCACAACTTGACCAAGACCACTTAACAATGCATAACTTCTTCCCCAATGCCCCATTCTCCTTCTATTTAAACCTTCAGGTCATGTCAGCATCTGGAAAACATGCCTAAAAACATGTCTTCCCAGTGTGGCTACACTAATTAAAGTTATTTTCCTGCTTTTTTGCAATTATCCTTTGGGTTTGATATTTGGGTTGAGTGGCCAGCCCTGGATTTTGAACCTGACCTGGGACTCCTATAATACTTTTAGTTCATATTTTGTGGGAAATCAAAAAAATCACTGTGAAATTTAAAAAAAAAGAAAGAAAGAAAGAAAGAAAGAAAGAAAGAAAGAAAGAAAGAAAGAAAGAAAGAAAGAAAACTTCCCAAGAGCTAGGGATATGGTTCAGTGGTTGTCTGCCTAGCATGTGTGAGGCCTGGGTTCCATCCCAGCACCACAAAAATTTTTAAAATTAATAAATAAAAAGGCTTACCTATATTCTGCCTTTCCTCTCCAGTCTGAAGATCATCAATGATACCAGAAAAGAAGAAAAGAAGGAAAAAGAACAGGCACCCTAAAGCAGTTTGAGTGATAGGGCTTTCCTTTTCATTTTTGATCTGGTCACAAAAGACCCTGTCCTCTTTAACAATTAAACCTCACTGATGAGAAGTTTAAGGAAAAAAAAAAAAGATTAGGGTTGGGGGAAAGATGCCTGGGGTTGAGGGAAAAAAACACTGAAAGTAGGTAATCATAAGTCAGACTACCTATAGAAGCCATTCAGATTACTGTAAAGCAAACCAGATGTGATCAGTTAGGAACAGTGGACACAGGCAAAAGAGTACAGTACAATCCCTACCAAAGACATTTGATTTCCTAAAATCTATCAGATGTTCCAATCAAAACAGAACTTTACAGGATATCAGATTTAGACCTGTGCTGAGAAAGAAGAATGAGGTTGGGGATGCAGCTCAATAACAAGACACCTGCATAGCATGTATGAAGCCTTGAGGTTCGATCCCAATCCCAAACACCAACAAGAAACGAAGAAAAAAGAATGAGAGAAGGCCCCAAGGCATTAGCAGATTAGACTAAGGTGGGAAGAGAATCAAGAATACTATAGCATGGGAGTGAATGAGGGATAGGTTGTCATAGTAACTAAGAATCTGCAGAGTATGCATGTGTCTGTGTCTATAACTGTTGAGTGTATGTGACTAGATAGTTTAATACACCTACAAGTTACAAATTTYAATAGATCCATGGCTCCAACTTCCCTAAAACCACTAATTTTGACATCAAACCCAACAGCATAGACAGATCACTTAAATATTTTCAAATTGGCTTAAATTCCCTTTTAAAACTTTGTAAAAATTTCTAGTCAAATATACCACATGAACAGACACTAAGGTTATACTACTATTAAGAACTTACCTCTGCTTCTCTTTTCTTTGCCCGTGCTTTCTCTACTTCATCCATTACTTTCTGGGATTCTTCCACATTCCCTTCAGCTCCTAGTTGTTCCACCTTGGCTAATAATTTACCAATTTCTTCATTTAATTCATGAACACGTTCTGCCTAGAAACAAACAGAAAAGAAAATCATGAAACAATAACAGAATATTAAACTTCAAAGTATTTCAGAAATGCTCAGAAAAGATTTGTTATCTAAGAAAATATGATCACATCCACTGGGACACTAGGATGTTCTGAGGCTGCCTGCCTACACCTCAGTGAAGGTCAAAGATAGGAGCAAGCAACAGAACTGCTACTTTGTAGCCTGTGCTTAGGTATACTCAAGTGTAAAACACCTTTCCTGCCATGATCGTGCTGCACCTCTCTATGTTCCCAAATCATCTCTTGCTGTTTCCTCTCTTCATAATATAAACTATATTATCTTTAGTTTTCCAGACTTACCCTGTTTCTGCTTGTTTTTGCACAGACTGTTCCTCTTCCTGGTATGTCCCCTTACCTGTCTAATGAATATCTATTCATTCAACAAGATCTGATTCCAAGAGTGTTTTCTGTGAAGCATTTCTGAAAAATCATCACATGCCAGCCCCACTGAAACATGTAAGCACAAATGACCATATTCTCCTTTGTGTCATTTTTCACAATTACTTTTATACATATCATATACTTTAAAGATAGCTGTCTGAATTTCCCATCTTTTTATCTCTAAAGTCCAAGAAACATAAGTTCAAATATGAATTAAAGAAATGAACTAGTGGATGCTCTGTAAAGCTAGAGGTGAACATACTTTAAAAGTCCCATATCTGAATTGCTGCTAAACCAACTACTGAATGTGAAATTGTAGCCAGTTAGATACACCTGAATCCATTTCCTCATCTGAGAGGAATAATACCTGTCCTGTGAAGTTGTGAAAAATTAAAAAAATGCTTTGTATATATACTGCACAGCAGTATTATTTTCGTAACACTTGCATGTCACCCTCCCTCCATGAGTCCATGTTTTCCATTGGTATTCATTTTTTACTTAGGTTTGATATATTCTTCCTCATCATCATCCTGAGAAACTAGTTCCCTCATATTGTTTTAATGGCACATGATAGTCTTTACTTTCAATCAAAATAAGTATTCAGTCTCTATGTGGCCAATCATATTAGCAAATAAGGTTTTTATGTGGTGTGAACATCCAGTCTCAACAAACTAGATGGTCAATAATCTTTACATCTCAAAGTTCCTTCAACCCAAGATGTTCCTTCTCTCAAAGACATTCCCAACTCTGTTATCACTATTTTTCCTCTTTATCAAAGTAGTACTTTCCTTTAAAAATCTGTCACTGTTTAACTGCATTAATGCCCAGAGCTTCACCCTCTCCAGTATCCCTGCCCTCTGCCACGTTAACTAAGTACCATTGTCTTCTGACTCAACTTGGCCATGCAATTGCTTCAGTTAAAGGAAGGACAGTTAATATGACCCAAGGAAGTCTTGAAAAACACTTCTATGACTAGGTGTAATGTTTCTGCATATCTTTCACCATTATGAAAACATGGCCAGGCTAGCTTTCTGAGCATGGCTCAGTAGTCTCCAGCTGACTATAAAACATGTGACAGGAAAAATAGTCAAGTTTAATCTACATAATTGACAACACACTAATGAACTAAATAAATACTGACTTGTCTAAGTCATTGAATTTTGAGGTGGTTTTGTTTTACAGCACTTTTGTAGTACAGAATGCTGTGTAACTAATACACCTTGGGTTCTACATAGCATTTGTCAATCTCTTTTAACCATGAAATACTATATCCCTTATAATTCAGAATGACCTTTTTTTGGGGGGGTGGTGGTAGTAGGGATTGAACTCAGGGACACTGGACCACTGAGTCACATCCCCAGCCCTGTTTTGTATTTTATTTAAAGACAGGGTCTCACTGAGTTGCTTAGCACCTTGCAGTTGCTGGGGCTGGCTTTGAACTCACTATTCTCCTGTCTCAACTTCCAGAGCTGCTGGGATTAAAAGTGCATGCAACACTCCCGGCTCACCATGGCCATCTTAATAGTTACTTATCTTTAGAGAACTCTGCTTAAAAGGCCAGTTGAAAGTAAACCTTTTTTAAAACAAGGGAATCTATTTCCCTTTGCACATACTATCCAAACACCATATATGAATCCTGTCATATGAACTTTACCTTAGGAACACTCTTGAACTGCATTTTGGCAAAAGGCAATGGATTATACAGAATGGTACAAAATTTATGTTGTAAAATATTAAGTTATCAAATCAACCAAATGCAATAAATAGGACCTTGTTTGGATTCTGATTATTACAAACTGACTCACAGGAAAAAAGAAACATATTTGGATATCAGATAGGATTAAAGGATTAATGAATGTGATGTTGTAGTTGTTTTATAAACAGACAAAATGATATGACACGTAGAATTTACAACAATGAAACAATAACAGAAAACCGATCGCTTTGAAACTCAGTGATGGATTCACTGGGTATCATTATCCTTTCTCCCTACTTGTTGTGTGTTTTTAAAGTAGTGAGTCAATACTGTCATGTACAACTAAAAAGAACAATAAAAAAAAGTAACAAGTTAGGCAAAACATGAAGAACACTCAAAATGCAACATTAAAAAAAACTAGCAATTGGGCTGGGGTTGTTGCTCAATGGAAGAGCACAYGTAAGACACTGGGTTTGATTCTCAACACCACATATAAATAGATAAAATAAAAAATAAAGGTTCATCGACAACTAAGGGGAAAAAACAAAAACTAGCAATCCTATTAGAAAATGGGCAAAAGAATAAAACAACACATTTACTGAATGAAGAGTGCATGCATATGGCAAGCCATACACCTGAAGAAAAAAAAAACTCATCATTAGTCATTAGGTAAATGCAAATTGAAACCACAAAAAAACACTACATTACTCTCATAACAGATAAAATGAAATATGATGACATCATCAAATGCTGGAATAGATGTAAAGAAACTACAGCATTCACACTTGGTGGCAGAAAAGTAAAATTGTACACTCACTCTAAAACAAATTTGGCAGTTTTTTCAAAAACTAAACATGGGCCAGGCACTGTGGCGCATGCCGATAATCCCAGCAGCTCAGAAGGCTGAGGCAGGAGGATTTTGAGTTCAAAGCCAGCCTCAGCAAAAGTGAGGTGCTAAGCAACTCAGTGAGATACTTACTATCTCTAAATAAAATACAAAAATAAGACTGAGAGGTCAAGTGCCCCTGAGTTTAATTCCCCCCTGCAAACAAAACAAAAAACTAAACATGGACTTACATTATGACCCAGTAATTGCATTCTTAGGTAATTTATTCCAAGTAAATGAAAACTTGTGTCTACACAAATATCTATATGCAGATGGGTACTTCAGATCTGCTAGTATTAGCCAGTAAGTGAAAACAACCTTAACGTTCCTCAATGTGTGAATGACTCAACTGTGGAACTGTGGTATAACCATACCGTGGAATTCTTCTATTCAAAAATAAAAAGAAATGAACTACTGATGTACAAAATGTGCATGAACTGCAAGGAAGTTGTGGTTAGTGAAAAAAACAATCTCAAAAAAGATACCTACTGCACAATTTCATTCATTTAATATTCATGAAATAACTAATTATAGAGATGAAGAATAGTTTAGTGATTGCTAAGTGTTATGGATTGGAGGGATATGGGTGTGTTATACAGAGAATTATAAAGAAATGTTTGGGTTTTTTGGGGGGTAGGGAGGTAATGGGGAAACAGACCCATGGGCACTTAACCACTGAAGCACATACCCAGCCCTTTTTAATGTTTTATTTTGAGACAAAGTCTCAATAAGTTGCTTAGGGCCTAGCTAAGTTGTTGAGACTGGCTTTGAACTTATGATCTTCCTGCCTTGGCCTCAAGAGTTGCTAAGATGGGGCTGGGGATGTGGCTCAAGCGGTAGCGTGCTCGCCTGGCATGTGTGCGGTCCGGGTTCGATCCTCAGCATCACATACAAAGATGTTTTCTGTCAAAAACTAAAAAATAAATATTAAAAAATTCTCTCTCTCTCACTCTCACTCTTTAAGAAAAAAAAAAAAGAGCTGCTAGGATTACATGGGAGCACCACGGTGCCCAATTATAAGGAAGTCTTATAGTGATGTTAATATAGTTAAGTATCTTAGTTGTGATAATGGATGCACACTTTATATATGATAAAACTGCAGAGCTATATATACACACATGCATACACGAAAAAATGTGAAAGTGGTTAAATATGATTGAAATGTAAGAATTGAACTAAGGTCCATTTCTTTGATATACTATAATTGTGTAAGATATTCAGACTGGGGGAGGCAAGAGAAAAAATACATTGAATTCCTTGTGTATGTCTTTGCAATCTCAACAAATTTAATTATTTTAAAATACAAAGGTAAAACAAATGAGTAGTGGGTTGAAACTACACTTTGTACTAATGAAAGGATTGAAATCTTACCTTTGCTGCCACTTCAGCACTAATCTCTTCTTGAGTTTCTGCTAATCTTTTCTTAGCCACTTCTGTTCTTCTATCGCAATCTGCAATGAATGACTGCAGGTGATCCATGGCCTAAAATGTTTAATTAAAAAATAATTACTGCCAGAAAGTTAATTTTATTCAGAAATACCTTTATTTAAAAACTATACTTTGTTTTTAAAATGTTAATAAGTGGAAACTACGGAAATCTTAAAAAATAATAAAAGCAGTTTCAATTGTAAATCCCAAATATTATTTGTCTTCCACCAAACTGGCAAAGGATAAACATAAATAATTCCAGAAAGATGGGGCTGGGGTTGTAGTTCAGTATCACAGCGCTTGCATTGCTTGTGTGAGGCACTGGGTTCGATCCTCAGCACCACACAAAAAATAAATAAATAAAATAAAGGTATTGAGTCCATCTACAATTAGAAATATTTAAATAATAATAATTATTATTTTTCCAGGAAAGATAATGCTATTAAAAAAACCTCCACTTTCATACTCTATTGAAGAAAGCACAAACCAATGTTGCAGCCTTTATAAAAAGGCACTGTGATTTTTCTTACTGAAAACCCTTTAAGGGGCTGGGGCTTTGGCTCAATGGAAGAACACTTGCCCAGCATGTGTGAGGAACTGGGTTCGATTCTCAGCACCAGAATTGAACAAGAAGTTGTGGTTAGTAAAACTTTCACATTTTTAAAATAAAAATAAATAAAATAAAGGTTTGTCAACAACTGTGTGTGTGTGTGTGTATGTATATATGTGTGTGTATATATATATATATATATAAAGAAAGAAAACCCTTTAAGGGTCCAGGGGAAAGATGAAGGGAAGAAAGGGGGAAATACTGGGGACTGACATTGGCCAAATTATATGGTTATATTCTGTGCATGTGCAAATATGGTAACAAAGAATCCCATTGGAATGCACAGCTATAATGCACCAATAAAAAAAAAAATAGGGGAAAAAAACTTTAAAATATCCCCTTAGTAGTTTTACTTCCAAAATTTTATTCTAAGAAATTAACAAAAATATGTAGAGATAAATATTCAAACACATTCTTTACATTGTTAGAGCATTAAAAAGCTATAAATATTCTAAATTTGATCTTCCTTCATTAAAAAAGTTCTTATAGGATACTTAAAGACATAGAACACTTCAAGATTCACTTACAAATAAAAGGCAAGTTACTAACATAATATGCAATAAGATCCCACATTTATGAAACAAAGCAGCATAGAAAAAAATTGAAAGATAACCACATACAAAATGAGTTGTAACATTGTTAAAATGTTAACAATAATAATTTCTCAATATCTCATGATTTTTGCTTTTTTCTGTTTTTTTTTTTTAAGTTCCCACAATGAAAATGTTATAATCAGGAAAAAAAAAAAAAAAAAAAACCTTTTCAAAAAATGAACCATTGGAAAATTTTAACAATGTCATTCTGCACATACTGGAATCCCCAAAATAGTCTGATAGCCCAAGAATTTCTTCAAAGTGAACAGGGACAAAAATGAAATTCTTCAAAGAAATAAGGATGATTTCAAAAGTTTCTTCTAACTGGGATGACACAGAGATAGCTATTTAATTCTTTTAATGTCAACTTTATCTTTTAAATGGTAATGGAAATCTATGTGAATTTTCTTATGACAAGATAAAAGTAATTCGGGCACTGTGACACACGCCTGTAATCCCAGTGGGTCAGAAGGCTTAGGCAGGAGCATCCCAAGTTCAAAGCCAGCCTCAGCAAAAAGGTGCTGAACAACTCAGTGAGACTCTGTCTCTAAAAGAGCTGGGGATGTAACTCAGTGGTTGAGTGCTCCTGAATTCAATCCCTGGTACCCAGTGGCCCAATTAAAAAGAAAAAAAGAGGGTAGATCCCAAAGCAGTGAGAGAAAAGAAAGACCAACCAACAAATAAGTGTTGGGTCAATTAAACAGTTACTAGGAGCTAAACATACTAAGTAGAATAAATTCAAGATGGAGCAAGGATTTAAATGTATAAAATGAAGTAAAAGAGTACTAGGGAAAAAGGGCTCTTTTCACTTCAGAATAGGGAAGGCCTTTCAAATTAATCTAATAGATTTTTTGAAAACTGATAAATTAGACAACTAAAAAATATGCAGAACCAAAAACCACCAAAGAAATGTAAAATAGGAAAAAATACTTGGAATACGTATGTGAGAAAAAAAGACTAATTTTCATAAAATGCAAACAGAACAAATCAATGAGAAATGGCCAACATTCAAGATTAGCTAATTAAAAAAAAAAAAAAAAAAGTTGTATACTGTTAGTTCACTAAAAAAGGAAATACAAAGCAGGGCGCAATCCCAGTAACTAGGTAGGCTAAAAGCAGAGGATTCACAAGTTAGAGGACAGCCTCTAAAACTTAGCAAGATCCTGTCTCAAAATAAAAAATGGCCCCGGGGATGTAGGTCAGAGGTAAAGTACACTGGGTTCAAGCCCCAGTAAGAAAAAGGAACCATAAAATGAGCTCATCAATATGCTTTATTTAATGCTAAGTGATATGTCTCACAAAAATGCAAAAAAAAAAAAAATTTAGTTTCCCTATTTTTAGACAAGTAATTCTCATATAAAAGTAACATTACAGGCTAAGAAGAGCATTACAGGCTCAGCGTAGAGCAAGTGCCTAGCATATAGTGACTCCCTGAGTTGGAGCCCCTGCTCTGCATATTAAATACATAAATAAATAGATAAAGTGAGAAACAATATGCAAGTTACATCTGGAACCCATTCACATACCTATTTCTTCTATTAGTTTTACACTAAAATACTGTCTTTATAACACCATATATATATATATATATATATATATAAAATGCAAAATGGATATGATATAAAAATAATTAGCTGAGTTTATCTTATTAAAGATAATGATTCATATTCAAGATATTTTGCTGCAAAAGACAATATAATCCATTAAAGCAAAATCACATACATCAAGTTCAAAGAAAAAGTCCTGTTCTTTGGATGCAATTTCATAATCTGCTCTTAAAGCCAGGTCATGGACTTTCAGACATTCTCCAAGATCCATTCTCTAGGGGAGAGAAAAAAAAAAGAGAATATTGAAATAGAAAACATTTTTTCACAAATTCACTTCATCACTACAATTCTCTTCTGAATATATATTAAGCCATACATATGCTTCGTTACTTATGGACCTTCAAATTACAACATTTCACAGACAACTATAAAACTTGGTATTACAAAGAAACTGCAATGGGCTGGGGTTGTGGCTCAGCGGTAGAGCGCTCACCTAGCACATGTAAGGCCCTGGGTTCGATCCTAAGCACCACGTAAATTTAAATAAATAAAATCAAGGCATTCTGTCCAACTAAAAATAAGATTTTGGAAGGAAGGAAGGAAGGAAGGAACGAACTGCACCAATTCTGGCTACAAATAAAAGAGTGAACATTTTTAAACTTATGAACATATCTGTAAGAAAAAGCTTTTCAGTTTCAAGCTCCTATATTATAGCATATTTCATTTACTCCCATAACGGAAAGATATTCAAAGTTAATTTAAAACAAAACTGAAAGATTATGTAAACCAAACTGCTGAATTAGGGTCAATTTTTTTTTTTTTTTTAATGTGGTGCTGAGGAACAAACCCACTGCCTTACACGTGCTAGGCAAGTGCTTTACAACTAACTGAGCCACAATCCCAGCCTGGGGGGTCACTGTTCTTTGAAGAGCATTCTGTTTGTCAAATAAAAATTCCTTAAAAAAAAAAAAAAAAAAAAAAAAAGAGACTGACCCTAGGTTCAATCTTCAGTACCGTCCCCAATACACACACAGAGACTGTTAACCTTCTTATAGATGCCAGACAAAATTCCATGTAAACTCATGAAGACATAATTCATTAGTAAGACCCAGTGTAAGTGCACAAGTATCTATCAGGGAAATAAAATAGTCTTATTGACCTAGAATCCTCCTCTGTGTAAATTTCCAATTTTCATTATTTAAAACCAGAGGCTTTTCTCTTACCGGAGACAAAAATCAATAAAAATCTATCCATTTTTACATGTATGTGGACAGCTGATAAGAACTTTGATAAAATCCTTTTGGGGGAAAAAAATGGGTAAAATGCAAAGATAAATACATCTATGATTAATGGGTGATCAAAGCAAAGCAAGTGCCAGGTGCAGTGGTGCACGCCTATAATTCCGGCAGCTTGGGAGGTTGAGACAGGAGGATCCCAAATTCAAAGACAGTCTTAGCAACTTAGCAAGACCCTGTGTCCAAATAAAAAAAATTTTTAAAAAGGACTGGAGATGTAACATAGTGGTTAAGCACTCCTAGGTTCAATCCCCAGTGTGTATACACACACACATAAAAGCAAGAGATTTTTTCCAATTGGAGGTATGTAACCCCCACCTCCAGAAATGTCTCAGTCTCTGGACTGTTAATTAAAAAAAACTTCAAGGAGCCAGCTCAGTGGTGCATGCCTGTAATTGCAGTGGCTCAGGAGTCTGAAGCAGGAGGATCAAGAGTTCAAAGCCAGCCTCAGAAAAAGCGGGACCCTAAGCAACTCAGCGAGACCATCTCTAAATAAAGATACAAAATAGGGCTGAGATGTGCCCCTGAGTTCAATCCCTGGTACCCATCCCACCCAAAACAAACAAACAAACAAAGAATTACACTGTGAATAGACACATAGGTTTTAAAACAGTAATATTCACACCTTTTGATAAGTTTTATAGAAATATAACATGTATAGAAAAGTATACAAATCACTGAGGCAAAAGGATCACAATTTCAAGGCCAGCCTCATTGACACTAGTAAGATCCTGTCTCAAAAAAAAAAAAAGAAGAAGAAGAAGAAGAAAGGGCTGGGTAGAGTAACCCTGATCTCAATCCCCAGTATTGCAAAAAATGAATACATTATTGAAATATTCAAGATTTTATTATAAAATAGGCTCTGTGTTATATGATTTTTTTTGCCCAACTCTAGGCAGATATTAAGTATTCTAAGCATGTTTAAGTGGGCTTGGCTAAGCAGAAAAGTTCCGTGGTTTAGGTGTGCTAAGTGCATTTTTAACTTCTGATTACTTTTTTCTTCTGAGGGGGGGTGGGGAGTGTGGGAGGTGTCGGGGTTACCGGTGATTGAACTGGGGCACTCAACCACTGATTCAGATCCCCAAACCTGTTTTGAATTTTTATTTAGAGACAAGGTCTCACCGAGTTGCCTTTTTTTTAAGTTGTTGATGGACCTTTATATATACTTATATTTATATGTGGTACTGAGAATCAAACCCAGTGCCTCATATATGCTAGGCAAGTGCTCTACCACTGAGCCACAACCCCAGCCCATGAATAATAAATTATTTTTAAGCAATACCAACACAATTTTTAAAAAAGAAACTTCGTAATGATTTTACCCCACATTTTTTGCAAAAATAAATGGCCCCAAATCTGTGATAATTGTGCAATAAATGAAATTTAGTAAAGAGTGAAAGCAAATTAACTTAGAAAACCCAAAAGAATTTCAAATTTTACAAAATATTTAGAAGGCAAATAAATATTTTTAATTACTCTTTTTGTACATGACAGTATAATGTATTTTGACATATTCTATGTACATGGAGTATAACTTGCCATTCTTGTGGTTGAACATGATGTGGAGTTATACTGGTTGTGTATTCATATATAAACATAGGAAAGTATGTCTGATACATCTACTATCTTTCCCATTCCCCAGCCTCCTGGACCCTTCCCTTCATTCCAATTTGTGTGCCCCTTTATTGTGTGTTAGCATCCACATATCAGAGAAAACATTCATAGAAGGCAAATAAACCTTTTAATTAAAATCTTTTTAAAAGAAATATGGGTAATATCAATCATCGGGAAGTTTCTGGTAACAGGTATCTATAGCATACAGGCCTGAGCCTTAGCTTTACAAATGGTATCTAGAAATGACACTGCCTACTTAACATTTTTGCCAAAAATCTGGACATGTGTAAAACAGAGGACGTGATCAATTTTGTGCAATATTCCAACTAAAAAGGACAGTGAATTCACTGGATCAAAATTCAAAAGAATAGGCCAATTAAATTTAAATTAAATAAATTGAATTCATATATTTCTATGACTAAGAGAAAAATTTACAAGTAACTAGATATGAATAGAGTATTAGACAAAAATAACTAGTTAAAAAGTATGGCATGATGACTGAAATAAACCAATGTGAACTAAAACTAATTTTGAAAGGATATAGTGTGAGTCAAATGAGAAATCTCTACTGAAGGCTCGTTTTTAAAAAAAAAAACCCTGCCAGGCATGGTGGTGCACACCTGTAATCCCAGCAGCTCAGGAGCTGAGGCAGGAGAATGTCAAGTTCAAAGCCAGCCTCAGCAAAAGTGAAGTGCTAAGCAACACAGTGAAACCCTGTCTCTAAAAAAAATACAAAATAGGGATGGGGATGTGGCTCAGTGATGGAGTGCCCCCAAGTTCAATTCCAGTACTCCCCCTCATCCCCACACCCCCACAAAAAACAAACAAAACAAGGCTGGGTGCTGAGAGCCATAGCCAAGTAGGAATGAAGCATGGCATTTTGGGTTGAAAGGTGACACCAGCAAGCCATTGAGATGATAATGATTATGTTAAGATGTGCATTCAATTGGAGATTAGACCCCTGCTGTCCGCCTTGGCCGGCTAATCTTTGAGGTTCTGTCTTAGGATCCCATCTATCAGCTACTGGGGTTGGGGGCCCCATAGGATATGTTGTCTCTATAGGTGGAGCAGTTGGTTGGATACTTACGCCCTCTGGTGATAGAAAGGTGTTAGTAGCAGCCTCCTGTTGTAGCTTTTTCCCTAACAGCTCCTTTTCCTTTAAATTTTCTTCCTCTGTCTAGCTCGAGAGACCTTCTCTTTTGCTTGATCTAATAAAATGTCTTTCTCCATGGTCTGAACCTCTAACAATTTACTTAACACTCTTTCGGTTTGTTTTTTACTAATTTCTAATCTACTATAAAGATAACGCAACCCAACAAGATAACACAAAACAAAACCGAAACAGAATGAAACAAAAACAGAACAAAAAATCATTGTATCAATTTTCCTATTTTCTTAAAATGTATTTTCATGGTCTATCTCTTCCTCAGGGCCAAACAACTTCAAACCTTGGGCCAACCATTTTTCCCAGTTTGCCTGAGAAAGTTCTAGGCAGCTTGAAACAAAAACAAAAKAAATAAAAACAAGAACACATTGTTTTTTGAAATGGTCACCCATTCTCTCGCTCTCCCTCAGGGGAGAGCAATTTCACTTACCCCCAAGATTCAGGTGTTCCCTGTACAGGCCACCAAATGCCGCAGTCTGGCTGGGCACAAAATCAGGAGCCACTCAAGCAGGAACAAACTTTATTTCCCAAACTCCTGCAAACGCCAAGCACATACCACACCGGAAATTCCTCCTAGCACACTTCCCCAACCAATGGGAACTCTCCAGGAGTCCCACTAGAGCTCCAAAGTAGCAGGCCCCAGGCAGAGAGCAGGGGTCTTATCTCCAATTGAATGCACATCTTAACATAATCATTATCATCTCAATGGCTTGCTGGTGTCACCTTTCAACCAAAAATGCCATGCTTCATTCCTACTTGGCTATGGCTCTCAGCAACTGGGAATGTGGTTCAGTGGTTGAGTACCCTCAAGTTCAATTCCAGGTACCCACACAAAGAAGCAAACTCTTACCTTCCAAAAATTATTCTGTACACTAATGTACTTCAAAAGGGATATGAATAGATTGACCAAATGTCTCAAAACCAAGCCATGCAGAAAAGCCAGGTAAAAGAAGTAATTAGAGAAAAATCAAAATGTAAAGCTAATCATCAATCAATGGAAGAATTTCTGATTAAGAATCAAAAATTTGTTTTATTATGGTCCAAAGGGACTATAGAGAGGTTTTTTTTTTTTTTTTAAACTCTTGGTGTTAAAGACGGAACAAGCCTGCAGTTTTGAAATCATTTTTCTAGCATAATTGAGGAAAAAAAACTCAACCAGGTAGCATTTAATCTTTCCCCCAACTCTAGGACTACTTTTAA